GTGTAGTAGTGTATAGTGTAGTGTATAGTAGTGTATAGTGTAGTAGTGTATAGTGTAGTGTATAGTAGTGTATAGTGTAGTGTATAGTAGTGTATAGTGTAGTGTATAGTGTAGTGTATAGTAGTGTATAGTGTAGTAGTGTCGTGCTGGAGTCTGTCGCCAGGAAAATGGAGGTGTGGACCGTGCTACTCAACACGCTGCCACCACGACTCTCAACAGGACAAGCAGATTGAGAGTTCGCTGATTAACGAACTAAACCAACTATAACCCTCCACCACCGAACAGAACCTATCAAATCGAGTTGTTTACATGGTCAAAAATTTGCCGCTCGAATTCGTTTTTTGTTCAGCAGAACTGGCAAACTGGAGTGTAAGCAATGCTGACTATTTGACCGTTCAGGTGCCACGAGGTGCCACGAAGTTACCAGGGCGGTTCGTGCAGGCGAACCAATCGAATAATTGCAGTTGCCTTAATTGGTTGTCCATTGGCAGTTTTTTTTCTCCTCCTGATGACGATCGCTTGCGTTGTGATCGAAACGTCGTAGTTTTCTGTTATTTTATTTCAACCTATCTACGTGACTTTTTGAAAAGAAATAAAACCAGATGCATTATCTTCCCTCGCTGGCTAAACCTGACTGCAGCATAAAAAAAATATATAAGCAACGTAACAATGTTCCTGTACAAGACATTTTTTTTTTCATCAGTGCAGTATCACCTTGCTCAGAGATACGGTTCATATCATGTACAGCCAACAAAGAAGTGGAAATTACATCTGAGAAGTGCGCAGAGTAGGCACAGATGACGTGGAATCGCGTGGAATTTTAAGTACGGAGAGAGAAGTGCATGGATCGTAGAATGAATGCGAATTAAATCCATCGTGGTAAATGTAAATTATTTCGCGCAGGGCTTTGATGCATCTCTAGCGATCGTAGATGCTCGTCAATGTGCATCGATGAATCGATGCATTGCTACATCCTTAATAACTGGTGCCAAACATGTACAGGAGAACCCCTCTTAACGACCACCCCTGTTAACGACTACTCGCTTAACCACGAGCTTCCATAGAGCCCAATGTGTAGTGTATAGTAGTGTAGTGTATAGTGTAGTGTATAGTAGTGTAGTGTATAGTAGTGTGGTGTATTGTACTGTAGTGTATAGTAGTGTGGTGTATAGTAGTGTAGTGTATAGTAGTGTATAGTGTAGTGTATAGTAATGTAGTGTATAGTGTAGTGTATAGTAGTGTATAGTGTAGTGTATAGTAGTGTAGTGTATAGTAGTGTAGTGTATAGTGTAGTGTATAGTAGTGTATATTAGTGTAGCGTATAGTGTAGTGTGTAGTGTAGTGTATAGTAGTATAGTGTAGTGTATAGTAGTGTAGTGTATAGTGTAGTGTATAGTAGTGTAGTGTATAGTAGTGTAGTGTATATTAGTGTAGCGTATAGTGTATAGTAGAACACCCTCTTAACGACCACCCCTGTTAACGACTACTCGCTTAACCACGAGCCTCCATAGAGGCCAATGTGTAGTGTATAGTGTAGTGTATAGTAGTGTAGTGTATAGTAGTGTATAGTGTAGTGTATAGTAGTGTAGTGTATAGTATTGTAGTGTATAGTAGTGTATAGTGTAGTGTATAGTAGTGTAGTGTATAGTAGTGTATAGTGTAGTGTATAGTAGTGTAGTGTATAGTGTAGCGTATAGTGTAGTGTATAGTATTGTAGTGTATAGTAGTGTATAGTGTAGTGTATAGTAGTGTATAGTGTAGTGTATAGTGTAGTGTAGTGTATAGTGGTGTAGTGTATAGTAGTGTAGTGTATAGTATAGTAGTGTAGTGTATAGTGTAGTGTATAGTAGTGTAGTGTCTCCATAGAGCCCAATGTGTTCGCTTGCCGACCATTCCCCTATTAACGACGGGCTGTTGCAGGTATAGTAAATATTAATTAATGCATTACGTGACCATTTTTCTATCAATATTATGTGTTTATAGTGTTGTTAGTATCTTCATGTATTAATATCCATTGTTTAAATATTTTTTTAGTACTTTTATGGGTGAAAATGGGTAACTTTCGATGCTATCGGAACAAATGAAGCCTTTAACGGGTATTTACGAAACTCGCTTTACAACCGAATCACTTAGCGACCTGTTTCGTGGAACGAAACACCGTCGTTAAAAGGGGTAATACCGCATGTCCACACATGTTTTTGAAATGCTGCTACCCAGAGCTACTGAACATCTGTTAAAAAAATCCTGCTGTACATCTGTAAAAATGCGATTTATAGCTCATCGAATTCTTCCAGTAGAAATAGTCTGATTCTGATGTTTCTACATATATATCGGCTTTTGCCGAGTTGTCAAATGTGGAATGCCTACTAGCCCGAGGTGACGTATAGAATGCTCGTTAAGTTAATTATTGGCAAAAATGTTATTCCTGTTTTGTTGCGAAACCCATCGCCTTAGGGCTGGGGACTCAAGTGCGGCCACATCTGCCCGTGACCCCTGGATCTAGAGGTCACCTCTGTTGCCCCTTTGCCTAAATAACACGCTCTAGCGCATCAAATATTTGACTGACTGCCGTGTACAATTGCACGCTCTTGTCGATGTGAAATGCCACCGCTGATGCTGCTGCTGCTGATGATGTGGTGGTGGTGGTGGCCACGATACAGTCGTGATGGTTCTGATGGTCATGATTATGGTTAATGAGGCAACGTTATCACTTTTGGCAGCCCAAAGCCAGTGGTGGAAATGTCGCAGTCCCTCGTCGGTGGACTGTCTTTCCATAGCGTGAAGATTGCTCATGTCGTACAAAGTGATCCCAGAGGGCTGAGATATGCCACTGCTGATGGTGATGGTGATGTTGTTGTTGCTCTTAAAGCTGCTGCTGCTACTGCTGATGAGGACAACTGTATTGCCACTGCTGATCTTATCTTATGTAGATGTATGTAGCAAATTAACCAAAGGCGCTTTGCAACAATTGTAAAATTGTAACATACCTCCGATGAGCACGGTGGGCAACGTATGGTGCGAAATAAATTAAACATACATACCAAGAGTGAGGGTTATTGAAAGTGGTGGCGTAGTTTTAGTTACTATTGCTGCTAATGCTGCTGATGAAAAATATGTTTCCCCTTGCTACTGCTGATGCTCCTGCTGATGATGACGTCAATGGTATTGCTGCTGATGATGATGGATGCTGCTGCTCCTACTGCTGCTAACTAATGAGCGCTCTGCTCTGCAGGCCTAGCCTAGCGATTGCAACATTGTTTACGGCTGAGGGAAAAAAAATGAACGAGGTGTAATCAGGCTGAGACACGGAGTCACTTGGTAACAGGCGTTGGTGGAGCCTCGTGGGAGCGGAGTGTGATGTCGCTCGTGTACGCAAGTCACCTCTGCACCAAGCACAGCGTCCTCCGGAGAGGATGGGGCCAAATGACACAGATTCACATCTGTCCGTCTGTCTCGTAAATTAAATAAATTATCTGGCGGCGCTGCTGATGCTGTTGCGTTGATATTGGTGCAGAATGACGATGAACAAACTCCAAACTCAACGCGTTCATCAATATAGCGCTGTGGCCTTTTAAAATATGTATAATTGGCGACGTTTCGGGCAATGGTCCTTTTTTCATAGAACACAGGGAAGGCAGAGATGTAGATTCAAGAGAGGTAGAGTGAACGTCTCTGGTCTGTTTCTCTGCGTGTCTATCTCCACACCTATCTGCGTCTGTCCATTCATCGCTCTAGTTTTCTCCCTGTTTGAACATCGTTTCACTCTTAATGTATCTCTGCCCCGATCCCCTTGTTTATGTTAACGCCTGTGGTGGTGGTGGTGGTGGCTGTGGTGGTATGGGGCAGTGGTTTAGCACCCTGCACCATGAGCTCACTGAGCCAGGCTCAGTTGCTGTTTGTGCCCCAACATCGCCAGCTAATATCCGGGACCTGGCTTGGGAAATTCTCGACATTGACTCAACCTAAAATTAATACTTAGGTTGGTCATTTTAGTTTCCAAAAGGTTGGTCTGTACTGAAGTTTAACAAAAGGCGGCTTCACTCAGCCCTCCCACCCGCCCACGTTCCTTTCTGGCTCCTCCCCCCCCCCACCTGACCTATAAATGATCCAAGTCGTCTCGGAATTGTGCACTTGACACAGATATTCTGCTGTGACTGTTCCACCTGAAGACGGAAGCTTGTGTTGCCCCCGAAACGTCGTGATTGAATTGTTTTATTTTATTTTACCTACGTGACTTTACCGAATAAAACCAAAGAGTATTAGTGCGGTGCGTTCAACAGTGAACATACTGACCTTAATAGCTGCTCGCTAACATTGATAATTCCATTGATATAGCGCTTTTCACCAAGGATCTCAAACGATGATGTATTTTTTTTTTATTTAAAGCTTTCGTGACTGCAGGGATTCATATTCTTGGTTCTTTCGGTAAAGTCACGTAGAAGGGAAACAATAAAATAATAAATATATTTTAAAACGTGAGAATTTTATACTTTTATATATATTTTATTATTTTATTGTTTCCCTTCTACGTGACTTTACCGAAAGAACCAAGAAGATGATGTATTTGTTATATACCACCCTGCCACCCCCGCCCCGCCCCCTCTCAATGTACCAAGGCATCTCAGACCACCTTACATCTCATCTCAAACATTTGAAAAGGCACCCACCCCCCCAAGTGGCAGCGGTCACTGTGGGCACAAGGTGAGCAAAGCACACCTGGCCTGCGGACGGGCATTAGTCTGCCAGTTGGGGGTCCGATGATCTCCGAATTTGTATCTATTCCATAATTTCGTATGGCTGTGCGTTCAGGAGCTAAATCCCAATGTCCGCTAGCCACGAGAAGGCTTGAGAGGAGTTTTGGTTTTTTTTTGCCGGACGACGTTGATTACAATGTGCCTCATCCCAAGCGGAGTCATCTGCCGTGTAATTTTACGAAATTGGCAAATTTGGATTGACGATGGATGCCCTCTGCCTCCCCCCCCACCCCACCCCTCTCTCAGCGGCGCTCTACGTGATGGGGGCCCTGGGCCCTGCTGCCGGGTACCTGCTCGGGGGGTTCCTCATCGGGTTCCCCGAGTGGCCGGGGGAGCAGAGCTCCTTGAGCCAGGACGATCCACGCTTCATTGGAAACTGGTAGGGACCCCCTCGAGTGAGAGTCAAGGTGATGATGATGATGTGGCGACCCCCTCGAGTGAGAGTCAAGGTGATGATGATGATGTAGGGACCCCCTCGAGTGAGAGTCAAGGTGATGATGATGATGTAGGGACCCCCTTGAGTGAGAGTCAGGGTGATGATGATGATGTAGGGACCCCCTCGAGTGAGAGTCAAGGTGATGATGATGATGTACGGACTCCCTCGAGTGAGAGTCAAGGTGATGATGATGTAGGGACCCCCTCGAGTGAGAGTCAGGGTGATGATGATGATGTGGGGACCCCCTCGAGTGAGAGTCAAGGTGATGATGATGATGTACGGACCCCCTCGAGTGAGAGTCAGGGTGATGATGATGTAGGGACCCCCTCGAGTGAGAGTCAAGGTGATGATGATGATGATGTAGGGACCCCCTCGAGTGAGAGTCAAGGTGATGATGATGATGTGGCGACCCCCTCGAGTGAGAGTCAAGGTGATGATGGTGATGTAGGGACCCCCTCGAGTGAGAGTCAAGGTGATGATGATGATGTAGGGACCCCCTCGAGTGAGAGTCAAGGTGATGATGGTGATGTAGGGACCCCCTCGAGTGAGAGTCAAGGTGATGATGATGATGTAGGGACCCCCTCGAGTGAGAGTCAGGGTGATGATGATGATGTGGCGACCCCCTCGAGTGAGAGTCAGGGTGATGATGATGATGTAGGGACCCCCTCGAGTGAGAGTCAGGGTGATGATGATGATGTAGGGACCCCCTCGAGTGAGAGTCAGGGTGATGATGATGATGTAGGGACCCCCTCGAGTGAGAGTCAGGGTGATGATGATGATGTAGGGACCCCCTCGAGTGAGAGTCAAGGTGATGATGATGATGTAGGGACCCCCTCGAGTGAGAGTCAAGGTGATGATGATGATGTAGGGACCCCCTCGAGTGAGAGTCAAGGTGATGATGATGATGTAGGGACCCCCTCGAGTGAGAGTCAGGGTGATGATGATGTAGGGACCCCCTCGAGTGAGAGTCAGGGTGATCATGATGATGTACGGACTCCCTCGAGTGAGAGTCAAGGTGATGATGATGTAGGGACCCCCTCGAGTGAGAGTCAGGGTGATGATGATGATGTACGGACTCCCTCGAGTGAGAGTCAAGGTGATGATGATGTAGGGACCCCCTCGAGTGAGAGTCAGGGTGATGATGATGATGTGGGGACCCCCTCGAGTGAGAGTCAAGGTGATGATGATGATGTACGGACCCCCTCGAGTGAGAGTCAGGGTGATGATGATGTAGGGACCCCCTCGAGTGAGAGTCAGGGTGATGATGATGATGTAGGGACCCCCTCGAGTGAGAGTCAGGGTGATGATGATGTAGGGACCCCCTCGAGTGAGAGTCAGGGTGATGATGATGATGTGGGGACCCCCTCGAGTGAGAGTCAAGGTGATGATGATGATGTAGGGACCCCCTCGAGTGAGAGTCAGGGTGATGATGATGATGTAGGGACCCCCTCGAGTGAGAGTCAAGGTGATGATGATGATGTAGGGACCCCCTCGAGTGAGAGTCAGGGTGATGATGATGATGTGGCGACCCCCTCGAGTGAGAGTCAGGGTGATGATGATGATGTAGGGACCCCCTCGAGTGAGAGTCAGGGTGATGATGATGATGATGTGGCGACCCCCTCGAGTGAGAGTCAGGGTGATGATGATGATGTAGGGACCCCCTCGAGTGAGAGTCAAGGTGATGATGATGATGATGTAGGGACCCCCTCGAGTGAGAGTCAGGGTGATGATGATGATGTAGGGACCCCCTCGAGTGAGAGTCAAGGTGATGATGATTATATAGGGACCCCCTCGAGTGAGAGTCAGGGTGATGATGATGATGTAGGGACCCCCTCGAGTGAGAGTCAGGGTGATGATGATGATGATGTAGGGACCCCCTCGAGTGAGAGTCAAGGTGATGATGATGTAGGGACCCCCTCGAGTGAGAGTCAGGATGATGATGATGTAGAGACCCCCTCGAGTGAGAGTTAAGGTGATGATGATGATGTAGGGACCCCCTCGAGTGAGAGTCAGGGTGATGATGATGATGTAGGGACCCCCTCGAGTGAGAGTCAAGGTGATGATGATGATGTAGGGACCCCCTCGAGTGAGAGTCAGGGTGATGATGATGATGATGTAGGGACCCCCTTGAGTGAGAGTCAAGGTGATGATTATGATGTAGGGACCCCCTCGAGTGAGAGTCAGGGTGATGATGATGATGTAGGGACCCCCTCGAGTGAGAGTCAAGGTGATGATGATGATGTAGGGACCCCCTCGAGTGAGAGTCAGAGTGATGATGATGATGTAGGGACCCCCTCGAGTGAGAGTCAAGGTGATGATGATGATGATGTAGGGACCCCCTCGAGTGAGAGTCAGGGTGATGATGATGTAGGGACCCCCTCGAGTGAGAGTCAAGGTGATGATGATTATATAGGGACCCCCTCGAGTGAGAGTCAGGGTGATGATGATGATGTAGGGACCCCCTCGAGTGAGAGTCAGGGTGATGATGATGATGATGATGTAGGGACCCCCTCGAGTGAGAATCAAGGTGATGATGATGTAGGGACCCCCTCGAGTGAGAGTCAGGGTGATGATGATGTAGGGACCCCCTCGAGTGAGAGTCAGGGTGATGATGATGATGTAGAGACCCCCTCGAGTGAGAGTCAAGGTGATGATGATGATGTAGGGACCCCCTCGAGTGAGAGTCAGGGTGATGATGATGATGATGTAGGGACCCCCTCGAGTGAGAGTCAAGGTGATGATGATGATTATGTAGAGACCCCCTCGAGTGAGAGTCAGGGTGATGATGATGATGATGTAGGGACCCCCTTGAGTGAGAGTCAAGGTGATGATGATGATGTAGGGACCCCCTCGAGTGAGAGTCAGGGTGATGATGATGATGTAGGGACCCCCTCGAGTGAGAGTCAAGGTGATGATGATGATGATGTAGGGACCCCCTCGAGTGAGAGTCAAGGTGATGATGATGATGATGTAGGTACCCCCTCGAGTGAGAGTCAAGGTGATGATGGTGATGTAGGGACCCCCTCGAGTGAGAGTCAAGGTGATGATGGTGATATTGAGACCCCTCCAGTGAGAGTCAAGGTGATGATGATGATGGAGGGACCCCCTCGAGTGAGAGTCAAGGTGATGATGGTGATGTAGGGACCCCCTCGAGTGAGAGTCAAGGTGATGATGGTGATATAGGGACCCCTCCAGTGAAGGTGATGATGATGATGATAATGTAGGAACCCCCTTCTGTGAGGGTGAAGGTGATGATGATGTGGGGACTCCTCCAGTAAGAGTGATGATGATGATGATGTTGGGACCCCTCCAGTGACAGTGAAGGTGATGATGATGATGATGATGAGTTAGGGACCCCTTCAGTAAGAGTGATGATGATGTAGGGACCCCTTCAGTAAGAATGAAGATGATGTAGGGACCCCTTCAGTAAGAATGAAGATGATGATGATGATGATGTAGGGACCCTTTCAGTGAGAGTGAAGGGTGTTGATGATGATGATGATGTAGGGACCCCTCCAGCGACAGTGAAGGTGATGATGATGAGTTAGGGACCCCTTCAGTAAGAGTGATGATGATGATGTAGGGACCCCTTCAGTAAGAATGAAGATGATGATGTAGGGAACCTTTCAGTGAGAGTGAAGGTGATGATGACGATGATGTAGGGACCCCTTCAGTGAGATTGATGATGATGATGATGTAGGGACCCCTTCAGCAAGAGTAAAGATGATGATAATGATGTAGGGACCCCCTTCAGTGAGAGTGATGATGATGTAGGGACCCCTTCAGTGAGGGTGAAGATGATGGTGATGAAGACGTACAGCACAGTGTCCCAGGCCCTTCTTGCCACGTGGCAAGAAGGGCCTGGGCAGGCAGGGCCTGAGACGTGGTCAAGGACCCAATTAATGTTGCCGCCCCGCTAACGGCTCCCCGTGCCGCGTGACCCCGGCGTGCCACCCACCCCCCCCCCCCCCCGCCGTGCTCCAGGTGGGGCGGCTTCCTCCTCTGCTCAATGGCCATGCTTCTCGTGGTCGTGCCCATGTTCGCGTATCCCAAGCGGCTGCCTCCCCGCGCCTCCCGCAACGCCAGAGGGCCTCCGACGAGTCTCGGTTGGCCCGATGACCTCCGGTGGCGGCAGCAGCAGCAGGCGGCGGGCAAAGTGAACGGCGAGGAGGAGGAGGAGGAGGAGAGGAGGAGGAGGAGGAAGGAGTTGGAGGAGGCCGAGTCGGCCAGCGTCCAGGACTCCGCCGTTTCCTGCACCAGCGTCTGCAGCATCACCGCGAGCGTCCCCTCGCCCGCCACGGACGCAGGAGGGCGAGTTCCCCAGCGAACCTCAACTATGAACTTTGGCGATGACATGCGAGGTGACCGCTTACGGTAGCGTGCCTGGGGGGTGCGGGGGGGGGGTGCTAGGCAAATGTCACGATTTGTGCTGGTAGTCTTGAAGGTGAAGAGAGATTCCCAGAGCCTCTTTGTTGTTGGCCGGACAGTTTGAGAAAGTGGCCAAATTTCTGCCTTCCATTTACGATTTGGCTCATTTCCTGTGAACACTTCTGTCGGGCTCACCCGAGCCGTCAGCGTTTCGCGTAGCGCGGTCGGCTACGTACGGTGCAAAAGAAGTTCAACGTAAGTGCAGATGGTGAATCTGTAACGCGGACTCGCATTTTCTATAATGACAGAGTGATGTATTGTGATAAGGAGGTAGTGTTGAGGCCGAGACCGTAACGTCGTCTCCACTTAGGTGGCTCCATAAATTACGACCCACGAATATCAGCGGTGCTGCCTCAGTGCTCTTGCACATGAGAATTTACAAGCCCTATGCGCCGCCCATTCACCTCTTAAAATGTTACTCTTGTTCCTGTTCTGCCGTTAGGCCTGCTGACTTGCCCGAATAGCGGTGCTATGCACGTCATGCTCAAGCGGTTAATTGAGCAGCAACGCTCTTGCCGACGGAAACTGCAAGTGCTGAGTGCTGTATTGGTAACGTGCGTGTTTGTGCAAGCGAGTGTGTGTGTGTGTGTATCTGAGTGTATTTGTGCTTTATTGGGGAGCCGTAGTGCAGCGGGTTAGCACGCTGCGCTACAAACCAGGCGACCCGAGTTTTTATTCCCCCTCACGGCCAACATCTGAACCGGTCCCGGACCTCCCCTAGGTCGACTCAGCCTCAAATGAGCACCTGGCGTGATGTGTAAACGTCTCCACTGGGGAGACAAAGGCGACCGGGCGTGGTGCCGTGGCGGCCTTCACAGGTGCTCACTAACAGCACTTGCCCCTACAGTGCGCGTAGGCTACACGGGAGATCTTCTTCGTCTTTGTGTGCTTGCTGTGCAGAGCTTCCCCGTGCGGCAGTGCGCATCATGGCCAACAAGCCCTTCCTATTCGTGAGCCTCTCCTACACGGCCGAGTGTGCCATCGTCACAGCACTCATCACCTTCATCCCCAAGTTCATCGAGTCTCAGTTCGGAGTCCCTGCGTCCCGAGCCAGCACCTACACCGGTACTCGCTCCCTCTCTCACTCCATCTCTCTCTCTCTCTGACCATCTGTATTTGTCTCCCCCGTCTCTCTCCACCTGTCTCTCTCTCTCTCTCTCACCCGCACCGATCTTTTTGACCATCTCCCTCTAGCGAGTCTCTCACTCTTCGTCCCTCTAACCACCTCTCACTTTTCTCTCTCGCTCTTAACATTTATCAGCATCTCTCTCTCTCTCTGTCTGTCTTTAGTCTCTCCCACCCTCTCTCATTTACCATCTCTCTCTTTCTGTTTCTGCAGTCTCTCTCCGTCTCTCTTACCATCCCTCTATATCACTCTTCATCTCTGCAACACTACAGTATCTCTCTCACTCTCCACCTTTCTCGCAATCCCTCTCAATCGATCTCTCGCGTGTTCTCTCAAATTCCTCTCTGTACCGGGGACGTGCGGTCAGGGGAGGCAGGGGAGGCAGAGCCTCACCTGGCATACTCCAATAAAAATAGCTGTTACGATAAGTAAAAAAAAGAATAATCAAATCAAATAAATATAAATATTTCTCCACTGATCTGTGTTATAAATGTAATTTCTGTACGATTCCAATCATTTTCATAGTCAAAATCGCCAAATTTGCGGAGCTCCGTTGCAAATACAGGAAGAGACGAGAGGTGAGGCAGCGACGAGCTCAGCCTCACCTCTGATTGCGCAACCCCTCAGTAACTGGATGGAGCGCGGGCAATAAGCGCGTGCCTGTTACTATCTCAGTATGTCACCAATGTAATGTTTGTAGACCCCTTCATTTCATGTCCTCGCCTTCCATACTCAAGGTAACTTATTTCACGTACGTGTATAAAGATATTTAGGCTCGCTGGTCTCGTCATGAAACTGCAATAGAAAGCACCAGGGGAGGCAACTATCACATCTGCCTCACTGAGGGTGACGTGTCTAAATCGCCCCCCTCAGTAAGGACACGCCCCCCTCCGTGAGGCCACGCCCCTCTCAGTGAGTGAATCTGGCTGTGACACTAGCCAGTGCCTCCCCAGCCATTGACCTCACCGCACGTCACTGCTCTGTACATCTCACTCACTACGCTCTGTGTGTGTACGAGTCATCACGAGTTCACTACGCCTGTTTCACCTGATACACTAGGCACCCTTTGCACAGGAGATGTTCCACCTTAAGGGATGATCCAGGTGAAATATGTTGATGCGTGAACGTAAAATTGTCGACACATTCTCTCCATCTCTCTTTCCACTCCCTATCTCCCTCTGTTTTTTGTTTTTTTTCACTGCACATTCACAACAACCGTCTCTCGTGCCTGAAACGTCTCCCGTTATATATTTTTTATGTTAAGGTCGCAGTGTTATTGACTGATAATTGGTTGAGTACTCGTCATTGTTGGCAATTGTTATTGTGCACCACCGCCAATGCAGCAGCAGCAGCATCTCACAATGATGTCTCGTCTTACACAAAAGTTCCCGGCGAAGAAGTGAAAGTACAGGAAGAAAGAGCCTTGCCAACGAATAATCAAAGGCAAACTCGCGTATTGAATTGCATCGATCAGCTTCCGTTGACGCCACTCATTGTGCAATTCGTGACAAAACGAGTGGCCATGGAAACGTGGAGGGTGGATGACGGGAGGGGAGCGGTGGAGGTCGATGGGTAAAATGCTTCATCATCACCGCCACCATCACTGACTGCTGCCGTGCACAAGGAAACAGATGACTGCGAACAATCGATGCTTGTTTTGAAATGATGTCATCTCCGCGCAGCGAGAAGGCTACTCTGCGAATTAAATAGCATGGCAGCTGTGAGAGCCTAATGGCTACCAACTACAGCGAAGGCCACCGCCCCACCCACCCCGTATGACTATAAACATTCACTTCCCCGAATTTCCATTTGGGCAAAATCAATTAAAAGGCGGCCCGAAGAAAATTAAAATTACCGTAGCTGTTGTTGTTGTTGTTGAGCTGTCAGCCGATGAGCCCGCGGGGTCAGTTCCCTCCCGCCGAGGCGGGGTTCATGTACTTAACGTCACAATGCAAATCTGATCGTCGTATTTATCGAAGGAAGGGAAGTTCGGGTGACACATTCGCCGCCGACTGTGCTGCTCGAGGTGCGGTCAAACGTGCTGTTTTTGGAGTGATGTCGCCGCAGTCGCGTGATTCAGAATAAAGAATCAGAATATTTATCATGGAGAAATCCGATGAGCTGTGAAGCTCATTTTCACGGAAGCCCAGTAGATTCAGTGGGGCCGATCCGCAACTGCGGGCCCTGTTGCAGGTGAGCTAGGCAGCTATTGTGGGGAAAGAACAACCATTTAATGCAATAAACTCAACACATTTGCCAATAACACTGTGGCCTTCAAAATATAAATATATAATGGGAGACGTTTTAGGCAGTGATCCTTCTGCATGGGACATTTGATGTACACATCGTATGTGCTGTGAAGAAGAGCAATGGCCAGACATGTCGCCTATTATATATTTTAGTTTTTTTAAGGCAAAGCAGCGTCGTTGGTGAATGTATTCGAGTGTTTATGTTAATTGTGCTTTTGCACCACTGGGAAATGCAGCAGCTGCAGCAGCAGCAGCATCGCTGCCAGGATTAGTTTCACGTGGTAAATGGCGCGGACGAAGGTGGAACAAGCGCACACCCGGTTGAATCGCAGCCCATCGTGCATTCCGTCATATCGACGACCACTTTGCGATTGTCGCGAAGACTCGCCCTCGCCACGGAAACGTGGACTTCCCACCACTGAGCCGCGGCCGCCAAAGTGAAATGACCAATGACCCAAAATGCTCGAACTAGGACGGTTGTGATTGTGCCCGGCTGGTATCCAGGACTCATCATCGTGCCGGGCGCCGGCGTGGGCCTCCTGCTGGGTGGCTACATCATCAAGCGGCTGCAGATGAGCGCCTGCGAGGCCGCGCGGCTCGCCCTCTGCTGCAGCGGCGTCTCCCTGCTCTGCTTCTCCACGCTCTTCATCGTCGGCTGTGAGAGCATCAACCTGGGGGGCATCAGCATCCCCTACACCACCGGGTAACGAAGGGGGTGGGCGAGTTGGGGGGTGGGTGGGAGGGCCCTCTAAGTTGCCATCGTCCCCTTTCTCCTCCTCGCCGTGAATTCGTATTCGATTGAAAGTTGTCGTCGTTAGCAGCAGCAGCAGCAGCAGCGGCGGCGGCAGTAAAAGCGTAGCAGCACAGGTACGAGCAGACGCAGCAGCAGCAGCAGCAGCAACAACAAGAATGACCAGTATCGGCAACAGATGTCCGAGACGGATGCCGGCAATTTCGTGGCAAGACAGGATGGGCAGTGCAGGAGCACGGCGGGAGAACAACGCAGGTCAGGTGAGCGCTGCGGCTACGATCAGCCAACTGAGGGGTGCGCTGGGTGGGACGCGTAGTGCAGAACGCGAGGGGGGTGGGTCAGGCGGAGGATCGATTGCCGACACGGACTATCGGATTGGTCTCCGATAGTCCGGCGACCAGGGGAGAAGAGCAAACTTCAGGCGGCGGGAGGCTTTTCACTTTAAACTTTCGTGACTGCAGGAATTCATATATAAAATAATAACATAATAAATAATAAAATAAACATTTTATAAAAGCGGTCGTCATCAGGCGCCTGATGACGACCGCTTGTGTTGCGATCGAAACGTCGTTAGTTTTTGTTTATTATTTTTAATCTAGGTGAATTTGACAGAAAGAACCAAAGCATGTGGTGGGAGACTGTCAGGGCAGATTTCGGAGGTCGCTTTGCGTCTCTGCTGTGCAGCGGCGGTGCGGATCTGGCAGAGGGAGAGTGGGACACGTGCCGTCAACGACGTACGGCGGTGGCACGAACACCTCCGATTAGCACGGCTGGCTACGTATGGCGCGAAAGAAGTTCAACGCACGCGCGCACGCACACACACACACCCACACCAGCGTCGGATTTGGCCCCGATGACGCCTCGATCGTCGAGGAGAGAGAGAGAGAGACGGCTGACCGGCTCTCCCGGGCGCTACCCTGTGCAGACCCTCGCTGACCGTGCGACAGCGCAACCTGACGGGCAGCTGCAACGAGCGCTGCGGGTGCCGCGCGGGGCGCTACTCTCCCGTGTGCGGCTCCGACGGGGTCACCTACTTCAGTCCCTGCCTGGCGGGGTGCAGCGGCGTGATCAACGACACGGCCACGGGCGTGAGTGTGCAGCAGCAGCAGCAGCAGCATCAGCAGCTAACCACCGCCGTTCGCCACCAAGTGGCCGTGACGTTGGCATCGCGCTTGTGCCAGGCCAGATGCACTTCTGCGGCCGTCTGGAACGCTCTTCCTTCCGTTATTGGGACGCCACTGCAGCAGGGGTGGTCATCCCGTAACAGACCAATAGCCAAAAAGTACACCATTAAGTTCTGCAAAGAGCCAAGTGTTTATATTAGTGTGTGTGTATATATATTGATAGTTTTCGGCACAGCACGGGAGACATTATTCTTTGATACATGTGATAGTGTGTTCTACGTTATGCCCCTTAGTATGTGCTACGTCACGCCGCATGAGGCTCAGGAGATGCCTGTTGGCCACCGCTGTACTGGAGCTGTGCACCTTTAAATCATCTCGATTGAAAACTAATTTCCTTACAACTGCTTTACGTGTCGTCCTTCCCCCGCACCTCTGATAAACACGGTTGGCTGCGTGCGGTGCGAAAAAAGTTCAGCATACATGCTTGCATACGTGATGTGTTGAAGGCTTGCTGCTGGCAGGAGGTCACAGATCAGACCCAGGTGGCATGGGTTGACTGAGAAGGATGACTGGCAAATACACCACATGTGCTTATTCCTGTACACACTCCCAACACACACATGCAAGCATACTCACACGCACAAAGACAAATACAAAGATCCCCCCGTATAGGCTTCACATAATGTTGGGCCATATATTTATGTATGTACATATTGAACTTCTTTTGCACATTACGTAGCCAACCGCGCCCATGGGTTTGTTACGTACAGTGCTGTTAGCGAGCATCTATGAAGGCCGACACTGCACATGAGAGGATGGATGTCCAGCACCACACCCGGCCGCCTTTGTATCCCGAGTGGCGATGTTTACACATCGCATACCAGGCATTAATTTAAGGCTGAATCGACCGGGGTATCTCAGAGCAACTTACATGCGATGAGCGACTTACATCGTCACCTGTTATGTAAATACATTTGAAAGGACACCACCCAGTGGCAGCCGAACCTGTGTGGCACAAGGTGACTCGGAATTTTCCCCTCTGCTTTTTTTCCCCCGCTAGGTCTTCTATTCTGTTCTTGCGCAAGATGGAAATATGGTTCAGGAGCAAAATTTCAATGTCGAGGTCTGCTGGCCACGACCGCACTCCCGTAACCTGTCTTTAATTTTCCCCTTCACGAATCAGATGCGCGCATTGGCCTGTCGACGTTCCGACGACGTTGACGGTTCCACCGACCGGTCCCCACGATGAGGAACGTCAAAGCCAGGCGGCACCGCAATGCGCGGGCCCCGCAAGTGAGGTGCTCAATTTGGACGCTCCGCCGTTGTTCCACTCCGCAAATCCATCCCACCCGGTGCAGGCGCTGAACTTCACGGAGTGCACGTGCGTGCAGAGCCAGGAGGTGGTGGCGGCGGTGGCCACGGCTATGGCCACGGCGGCGGTGTCGGCGTCGTCGGGGGGCGGTGCTGTGCCGGGCCTGGCCGGCCTCTTCATCGTGCGAACAAACCTCCACTCTGCCGGCTTCGCCACGCCGGGGAAGTGCCGCAAGGAGTGCGGCACGCTCGCGCCGTTCCTCGTCTTCCTCTTCGCGGTGACCCTCATCACGGTGTGCGCCCAGCCCTCCGCCATCATTGTCACACTCCGGTGAGGATCACGATGACTGCGATGATGACGATGTTGATGACGACGATGACTAAGGTTACAATTGAGCGCATTTGGTCATGGAGCTTTCGTTCTTATGTAGAGGCAAGGCTGTCGCGAAGGAAGGTCGCTGCTGCGTTTCACAGACACAGTCAGGAGTAGTTTCACAGCAGGGGGCAATGTTGTTGCTGTGGGTGTAATCCCAATTGAGTAGTTTGGGGTGTAATCTTTCTAATTGGGCAACTTTGGACCGCGATGCTGGAAAACGGTGGCCCGCTATTTTCGAACGACGTAACGGGAGCTTTGACGTCCACTGTAAAGCAGACGGCGTTTTTTTTTATTTTTGTGGTTAAAAAAACCGCGGTAATTACCAGGGTGGCCTGTCGGATTCTAACCGTGGACCTCCACAACAAGCAGAGGGGATTTCGTAACCTCTCGGTCATGCAAGTTGTGCCTGCATAAACCAATCTTTCAATTCCACGTGAACCACAACACGCTGAACAAAATACGGCACCATCCAAAAAAGAAAACCGGACAGCGATAACAATGATAACAATCAATAATTATAATCATCTCAAAATGATGAGCTATGAAGCTCTTTTCTCACAGATGTCGAGTTATCCAAGAAAGCAAAACATTTTCAACAGTCCTGCAATGGGATAATTTATATTCCAACTTTTTTCTTCCGGTGTGGCTGCCCGTGACCTCATCACTGGTTAAATATAAAGTTTAATTTTTTTTTGGTTAGATCATGTAAATATAAATGTGTCGTTAACCCACCACCAGCCGACGTGGCCAATCGGTAATGGGTTGTCACGTAAACAAAACGTGCCAACTAATTACTACTTGAGCACACCCCGGGTGTGTTGGAAAATTAAACCCACGACGTTTTCCATTCGGCCGCCAAGGCAAACAGCGAATTAGGAGCGGGAATGTAACGCACCTCCGACACGATACATGCATGCAACGTTACGAGGGAGTCGAGATGTAACGCTCACAGGTTGCGACTCTGTGTAGCTGCAGCAGCAGCAGCGGCACACACCAACAACGGCAGAGCGCACGGCAGCAGCAGATTGTAAAACAGAAGCAGTTTGATTTCTGAAGCCTCGTCTGGCATCAGGAGTAATTGCCAAATGTATCTTGCAATGACGGTTTGCATGCAGGGGGAGATAAAAAACATTTCTTCCAGAAATCCAATGCTTCTGGTTGATAACACTTTGTTCACAGCCAGCAGTGGTATTCCTACGGATAGTCTTGGCCCTGATATAGGAATGTGGGATGTTCACCACTAGCCCAATGCTGCCGATGGAGAGGAGTGGTTGATCAAGCAGACATTTAGGCTTCACATATATACATTCAATTGAGCTGTTTTATTATTAGAACTTTATTTGAAGCTGTTATTGTTTTTTGCTGCCTTTCCTAAGCTTGATAAATTGTACTAATGCACTGAATTAATTTATTTACAATTCGTCACTTATTTTCCATTTATTTGTATTTTGCACTCCTATTGTGTTTTTTAATTGTTTGCTGCTGCAACTTGCTGACCCCGCCCCCAAACTGGACATCTGTGAAAAAAAGAGCTTCATAGCTCATCGGATTTTTCCTCCCAGTCTGAACTAAGATTCTGAAGGTTCTGATTCCGATTGAGCTAAATTGTATTGAACTCAACCGCGCTGAACCGAAACGGGTTGTGAATGTTGTTCCTCTACTCCCTGTTCCCCCCCTCCCCCACATCCTCCACCCCCTGAACCGGGGGTTCAGGTCATTCCCAGAGCGAGACCGTCCCTTCGCCCTGGGGATGCAGTTCGTGCTCCTCCGAGCCCTGGGTGAGAGGCACATTCCCCCACTGTCGCTCCCTCCCCGGAGATCGTCGGCAATTTACCGGCTCGCGATTGGATCCTATTTTTATTTTTTCCGGACGTTTTTTGCTGTTGTTGTTGTTGTTATTGACATTGTGCCCCGTGTGTTTAAATAGGATGCTGTGTAAAATAATAATTTGCTTACTTAAACTAAGCCAAAAAACTATTTTTTTTTATTTTACCAGCTAAGGCGCACTGAGCTATGTAGCTCTTTTTCAGAAGCGACCTGACCACAAACGATAGCTCAACGACGTGGCTTGTCACGTGGAAATTTATAGCAGCTAAATACTCTCAATTACTGAGTGCAAATTACTCGATTGGGATTACACGCGGCGATGTCGCGGCGATGTCGCGTGTAATATTTGCAAACTCCAAATATGCAGGCGTCAGGTTCGGGATCGAACCCTTAGGTCGACTCAGCCTTGAATGAGTAACCGAGCGCAGTGTGTACGTATCGCCGCTGACGATGGTGTCCACGCGTTTTGATGGCCACGCTATATCTCACTCGCACATCGTAACGGGTGCTCGCGAACACCGCTTTACCCAATAGTCTTTAAAATCCCGTCTTTCGAGTGTGCATGTGCGCGCGTGCGTGTGGGGCATTAACGTAGCGGTTCGCGCGCTGCGCTACAAACCCGGCGAACCGAGTGTCGATTCTCGCTCACGGCCAACATCGGTGACGATTATCTGAACCGGTTCTGGGCCTCCCCTAGGCCGACTCAGCCTCAAATGAGTACCCGGTGCGGTGTGTAAAACATCGCCAGTTCGGAGACAAAGGTGGCTGGCCGTGGTGCTGGCCACTCACCCCCTCCGTGTGCCGGTGCCGGTGTGCAGGCCTTCGTGGAGGTGCTCGCTAACAGCACTTGCCCCAACAGTCTGTTGATGCTACACGAGGGCGGGGGGGTGGGGGGTGGGCAACTTTGCCTTTGTCTTGCAGCCTACATCCCGACACCCATCTACTTCGGCGCGGTCATCGACACCACGTGCATGCTGTGGCAGAGCGACTCGTGCGGCCTCGTGGGCTCCTGCCTCGAGTATGACAGCACGGCGCTGCGCTTCGTCTACTTCGGCATGGCCGCGGGACTCAAGGTGGCCGCCTTCGTCTTCCTCTTCCTCGCCTGGCACCACGTGCGACGGGGCGCCGACCGGGGTTCGGGGGCCCTTCCCGGCGAAGACAAGGACCGCGTCGGCCGCGGCGTCCGCGTCAACTCGGTGACGTCGCTCGCCGGCGTCGACCGGACCGTGGCGCCGCCCGTCGGCAGCGCCGTGTCGGCCTCCGACTCGGCCTTCACGGCGGCGTCGCTCGGATCCGTGGAGGCGGAGACGCGGACGCGATCGTCCTCGCGGTCGCTCGGGGAGCCCCGAGCGGGTGGCTACGCGGAGACGGCCGCGGCGGCCGCGGCCGCGGCGGCCGCGCCGGCGCGAGCGCAGTCGCTCGCCTGCGTGGTGGACGGGCGCTCTGCTCTGCCGGGCGACGACGGCCGGGCGATGATTTCCACCAGACTCTAGCGGCTGACGCTCGCTCGCACGGGGGCTCGCCCCCGTTCAATTGGCGGGCGGGGAGATGGGACGCCGTCGACGGGGATAGACGTCGGGGCTGTGAGGGAAGGGTTTGATTTCGGATTGGGTCGCTGAAATGAACCCACGCCTCGAGTCGACTCGGCACTGGCGAGGCGCGTGTCCTCGCTGGGTATCGGTGTGTCTTGTCGCCGCAGCCTAGCGCGTTTGAAATTTCCTATTCACGGTATCCATGATCCGGTATCCATTGATCCACGGGTTGAGAACCGCTGGATTAAGAAGTTACAGTGATGCTTAGGTGTAAAACTTCGTTTCGCTTCGGGGGTTAGGATTATGATGAGTTTACCGTTCTGGTTAGGGTTGTGGTAAAATCTAAGCTGAGAAAGTGACAGATTTAGGGTGTAAGGTTCATCTACGATCTAAATCAGAGAAAGCTTTATTCTCAATGTATCCAATTTCATTTATCTGCAGACGAGTCAATCTGGCATTGTCTCTCAGATATGTTAAATTCATCCTGTTAGTATTAGGTACTTGGAAATTTGTCCTAGGGTTATATTTAAGATTAGGGTCATATATAAAGTTAGCATTCATATTAAACTTGTGCTTAGTATTAGATTTAGGATTAGATTCACGTTGGGGTTGGATTCAGGATAGGGGACGATGGCTATTTATGGATAGAGTTAGGGCTGCAGATGGAGCTACGGATAACGCCAGGAGGCAGAGTTAGAGCCAGGGCTAGTGTGAAGATGTTTACAGTCCGAGCGAGGGCAACCTTTGGATTAGCGGTAAGACAAACGTTATGGATAGGGGTAGAGTTAAGAGCTAGTTATGGGGCATTATAGCAAGTTGTGGGCTAAAGTTCCCAATATAAGCATCATTGTCACAATCTTTGTTTTGTTTAGGTTTCGAGAGAACAGGCTAAAATTTGATAACACCCAACTAAATTTGGGCCGTGTCGTCTAAGCAGCCATGATCAATCTACTGCTGGTTGAAGGCCTCCCCAAACCGCCGGAAACCTTCCATGATCCGACGATGCAACGATCTATCCAGCATGTGCACACTGCCTGATTAAATTTGCATGTGTTATTGGCATATGTAAAAAAAAACATAGATTAATCGGTTCGCTTCCACGCAATGTCCATCGATGAAACCGATGCACCTTGCTCCCCCAGTTGTTTCGCCACTGTCTCATTTCGTGGATTGCGTTCGCTCCATTAGCCGAGGAGTTACATTCGCTGTGTTGTCCACGCACTGTGTAAATAATCGATAGTCCCATGCGCGACCGAACGCGTGTATTGCGAGTGGAAGGGGCGACGTTTATTTAAAGCCCTTGCATCGTTAATTGCCTTCATGCTTTTGTGCATCGCGTGCCATGGCCCTCTCAGGCCGGCACCATACAGTGACATCCTTGATGTCACATCCCGGATGTCACTCCACATTGATCCCATTTCTGCATTGCAGGCTCAATGCTGCCCCCTTGCGCCAGTAGAGATAGCTGGACCAAGAGACCGTGCGTGTTCGACTCACCGCGATGCAAACGCTCGGAGCCCGCTGAAGGCTTATTAATTAACTTTTGTTATCCTTGACAGTTTTACGAAAGTTAATTGAAATTTAATTTCAGCCTCTCGTTCTTTTCATCCGGTGAATGTAACGCCGTTCATGAATAAGGTATTTACGACGAGTGTAAGCAATTTAAATACGTATTTATTCACGTTTGCATTTTACGTCATATATAATGACTGAGCATATCTTACTAATTTTAGTCATAGCAATAATATACTACCCTTTGTTTACACGGGACGAGCCTCAATTAATCACGATGCTTTATTTTAGGGGAGGGCCGTGCATTAGGATGTTTACCCAGTTTAATTAACGAGCCCCTCGGCATTTATCAGAAAACCACGGGGCTCGGACCTGAATGAAAATTGGTGATAAGAGAGCGTGATCGTCCACTCTCATTAAGAAAGCCTTGACACGGGCTTACCGAGACGCAACCGTACATACAGAATACACGGTATTATATTATGACATGATCATTGTATAACCGCAAGGCCTAACATGATAGTATTTGAGTTGGTGGCTTTTTGTTTATAGCCGACGTCCCCTTGTATGTATAATATGTATTTGTAGGAGAGTGGTTCAAGGTTAACTTGCAGATTTGTGTTCATAAATACTGTCAAATGTATGTCCCAATCTGTAGGTGTTACATGTGATATGCTAACACTTCTGGAGTAGATCCAACGGCTGTGACTCAGTTCGGATTGTACATCGGGCTGCCACCTTTCTACAAACCAAACACGCACACGTGTTTCTCAATCACCGCTAGGTCTATTCTCAAAACTGTGCAGTCCACTGAAATAAAGTTGAACGCAGCAACACAGGGACCAGATCTCGGTACAATTAACTTCTGCCACCCGAAAACAGGACATGCCAATTCCTGGACTGCCCAGGTCAACCCCTGACAGTGGGGCAACAATGTTTGGCCACGTAGTGTCTGGAATAGAACTAAACATTGGATCGGGCACAAAATTACACGGAACGAGATATTAGGGATGAGCAAAGATGCGGTGGCTTGACGTGGTGAAGATCGCTCTTGAACAGGAATGGTGACAGGCAAAGGAAGCTGTGAAGCCAATGCGAGACGAAAAGAGGTGGAAACGTTATTGTTTGGCCCCATCTTCGATAACAGAAGAAAGGGAACTAATATAAGAATTGTTGATTGTGAACCGGCAGTAGCAACGTCTGGCGTTGTGTGCATGAAGTGACATCACAATTGTGCAATGCAGTATGGGGTATTTCCAAGATTGTGGCGAGCATATGATGCGGGACAGCAGCGTCAAATTTTGACGTTTTCTGCTAAAGGGAAAATGCCAAAGCTGCTGACATTTTCACGGATTAGCGCAATGGGTCGGTTGATGCGTGGCCTCACACGCGGAAGTGTGTTTGAGAGGTGCAATAGATGTAAAAGTGGATGTGAGACGGTAGAAAGGCGATAATGGGGTGTGAAAGCAGATATTCCCAAAATGGCTGCATACACGTCCTGAAAATCTCTGTAAATGTTGTTGGATTAACTCTCCAACACACCGGTGTGCTGAAGTAGTAGCTAGATGGCATGTTTTATTTACGTGACAAACCTTACTAATTGGCTGTGTTGGGTGTTGGCGGGTTTAACGACACATTAATATATACGCCAAGGTCGTAATTATAATATATATTGGGGGGGGCACATCCCCCCCCCCAATATCCAAATATGCTCAAAATGTCCCCCCCCCCAATATATTGCGATAAAAAAATGTTGCTATGCTATTTAAATAAAAACAACAATTTGCTAAACCTTGGCCATAATATCTGGACTTGTCAATGCATAGATTTCTGTTTAGATGATTGTGGTTATGGTTGTTCTTTATGAATCCCTAATCTCTGCCATTACATACAATGAAACAAGAAATGGTAAAAAGTATTACAATATACTATTAGACATTATTGTAAAACATAAATAAAAGTCCATCCCATGTGTTAGTAAAATTTTTTAATATTTTAAACAGGAAATGAGTTTTCAAATGTAGATATTTTTCTGGGTTGGGACCCCCAGACACCCTGGAAGATTTGATCCCCCCCAATGTTGACTCCATGGCTATGGCCTTGATTTATGCGACCTAACCCAAAAAACATTTGCTACGTCCTGCAGGATTCTATGTTTCTGGAATTCAGGCGTGGTCTATTTTGAAAATTATGATTTTCTGGCCTACGCTATGTTGCTGTTATGATGGGTTTTCTCAGCACTTACACCTTTCATTATTTTTGGCATTGTGGCACCAGGGGAAGGAACCCATTAAAACAATGAGTTGGAGCTTTATGCACTTTCACTTCACTTTCAAATGATCCATAACTAAGCATGCAGATTAACCTTGAACCAGCCTCATATCAAGGCCTACGTGTATATCCCCCCACACACACTAGTAGCAGGTAATCCCTGTGTAGAGGCAGGGTTTCATTTATCACTCGGTATTTTCCGGAATACTGCAAGGCTGACTCGGAGTATGGATTTTTAGCGTAAGGTACTACCGCTAGAGTACAATGTATGCCTATACATATTGCTGTTTACCGTATATTCGTATAATTATGTAAACAAGTTTAGGACAAAATGAGGTTAAATGGATGTGGCATGATAAAATAGTTCCTGGAATTGCATTCTGGACTATTCCGGGATAAATTAAACACTGCGTGTCGGTTATATTTGTATGAGTAATATATAACCCACAGCGTTTTGCTGTATAATATGTCAACCACAGCTGTTATTCCCCATGGTTTATGGATAATGTACCCATGAATACACATGATGCTCGCTAATTTAGCCAAGCATTTAAGCATCGTAATCAATTGTAACGTGGCCAGTGATCCTCAGGAATATAACAGCTTGCAGTGCATTAACATTACAATAGGGGCTTAATGTGCTGAGGATGAAGCATTTTATAAAGCCACACGTTGTAACATCGCCCGCATGCGGTGTAGCGTCGGCCAGGTGGCACAGTGGTAGAGCCAGAACCTTGCAATCAGAAGTTTGCGAGGTCAATTCCTAGTTGGGGGTTGGGGGGCATAGGTTGACTGCCCATCATCTCTCCAGGGTTTATCAATGTGAACCACCTTGTGGGGAGACCAACAGTGTTTTTTTTTCCCGATGGAGTACTCGGCGCCGTCGTAGGCAAGTGGAATTTCCACCGTTGGCTCAGGGTTGTAAACAGGAGATGAGCGATGCTCGTTTAAGTAGAAAATCACATAGACTTTGGGATGGCTTCCCGTAACATATCTGACCTCAATCTATTATCCAGTGACTCATTTAAATTGCAGGGTATTCATTAACACATCTATCTACCTAGGAGTTCAAGCTTTCACTATTATTATTAATACTGTTTGGTATTTCAACAACAGAAACACGCAGTATTTTACTTGATTTCACGAAAGTCTGCATTTCAAAGAGATCTTTGCAAAGTGCACTTCTTGGGACGGAACTATTATTTCCAGATTAATATTTTTCGTTGTCATTATTTGCATTGTTTGTCTTTTTGGCTTCTCCGCTACCAGTAGTTTCCTAACCGCGTTGCCGGCTAGACGTAGCTCATTCCAATGTCGACACCCCCTCCCCTCCCGGTAACAACCTTGGAACCCAATGTCCCCTGATCCAGAAAAGAATTACAATTTGCTCGCTCGCTCTCTCTCTCTCTCTGCATTGCCACTTATAAAACGAGAAGTTAGTAAATGTAAGGGAAGAGAACGAGGGAAAGGCCCAAGGGTCGCGATGTCGGAGGAGCTGATGGAACTGGGACGGTCGTCATCACAAAGATGAGGGCGAATGGCACAGGATGGAGGATGGGAAGGATGGAGAAGGTGGCAGCCTTAGTGCGAAGGCAGAGCGCAGAAGAAGAAGATTCATTCTAGATTTGAAGCTTTCGTGACTGCGAGGATTCATACTCTTTGTTTTTTTTCGGTAAAGTCACGTAGGTAAAATAAAAGAAAACAACTAAATTAAATCACGACGTTTCGGAGGCAACACAAGCTTCCGTCTTCGGGTGGAACAGTCACAGCAGAATCGCTGTACCAAGTGGGGAGCTCTTGAGACGACCGGGATTATATATACAGGTTAAGAGGTGGGGGAGGAGCCAGAATGGGACGTGGGTGGGGGAGAGGGCTGAGCTAAGCCGCCTTTTGTTATGCTGCAGGGGGTTCGGGGGCACCGATGGCGCGCTGCACGAAAGCAATTACAACCCCATTTTTGTTAGAAAGCAATGGAAATGGCTGTACAATTATAAGGCAGCTAAAGTTTGACATACAACCCACTGAGAGTAATGGAAATGGCTGTACAATGATAAGGCAGCTAAAGTTTGACTTGGTTTATAACATCTTTCCAACGGTTGCTCAGAAGATTAATATCAGCGCTACATCCGGGACTTTCCCCTCTCCCCACTAAAGATGGGGGGAGGAGGGGGGGGGGCGTTGCAACAATTCTGTAATCCCTTTCAATAGGTAACGAGGCGTAGTGATCGTGCAACTTATCTGGGGGCTGTGCAATTTGTGGGGTTATAATATTGCGTCGTCATTGGGGCACCACTGCGGTGTTCGCGTGGCGATATTTATCAATTCCGGACGTTGTCACTAGGTGGCAGGGCACACCGCGTGATTGATGACGGCGACGCCTTTGCACAACTGCAAATCTCGAGAGCGGCGAGATGTTGCGTGTGGTGGGTTTTGTTTTCTCCCCTGGGGAGCGGTAGTGTAGCGGTTAGCGCTACGCTGCGCTACGAATCCAGCGATCCGAGTTCAATTCCTGCTCACGGCCAACACCGGTGATGATCATTTGACACCGGTCCTGGGCCTCCCCTAGGTCGACTCAGCCTCAAATGAGTATCTGATGCGATGTGTAAACATCGCCACCCACTCCCTGGTGTGTCGTCCTGGCCTTCGTAGGTGCTCGCTGACAACACTTGCCCCAACAGTCTATTCAGGCTATACGGGGGATATTTGTCTTTATGTCCTCTGGGTGATTGAGGTTAAGCTGCAATACGGTGACACTCTCGCTGCCTTTGTTTCACATCCTTTCTCCAAGACGTCGCTGACCACGGCCTTCCTTCTATTTAGCTCTATCCATCTTTATTTTTTTTTCCTACGACTGCTGATGTAGATGCAGAGCAGCAACTACGATTTCACATTTAGGTGGTCCAGCCGGACAACCGCATCAGGAGCAGTGGAGTGTATCGCCGTGATGTCTCCTTCGTATCCGTGGCACATAAGCACGTGGTATGGTCTGTTCTGGATGACCACAGTCGCTCTGTCCATGAATATTTTACTCGCAGACTATGCATTAGATTCTCCCAGTGGCGTCCAATTGTTCATAATTCGTGCGTAGCTCCTCATCCGCAACGGTTATCCTGTACTGGATGGTGGCGACGTTTTGAAACGGAATGGAACGGCTCTCGATCGGAGTGCGCGCAACATGACGACGATGGGATCGACCGCCGAGGAACGGAAGCGGTGTTGCGGAACAACGCCACAGGGCGCACACATCTTAATTAGTAACGTTCAAGGTACGGCCGAGACCCTAGCCCCGTTTGGAATTCCATCTGTGCGGACGTCTGAAAGAAGATCGAGGTTTGTGCTAGACGGTTTGAGAGCGACGGGGCAGCGAGAGAAGTTTTTTTCTTCTTCTTCTTCTTCTTCCAGTTGTGGGTCTTAAGGACCAAACCGACAGGACGTCTAACGCTGCCGCCGGAACGAGTGGGCATTGTGAGAGGGTTGGTGGCCGTGGAGACGCGACCCATCGCATTGTCACCGGCAAAACAATCCTCTGCAGCAAAAAAAAAAGAAGACGAAACAAACCTGTACCTTTACTTCTTGAAACACGCCCTGTGGCATTCTCTGGGACTTGTGGCTCCTCGTGGTCATAGGTGAGGCGGCTCTGATGAAGAAAACTATGCGTCCGACTGAAGGGAGAATGGCTTATGCAACAACAAGCGGACATCAGGGAAATGTGTCCCCTTCTAAAGGGGGCCAACCACTATGCAAGCGTCACGGCTGGCATTGGAGGCAGCTCTTTATTTGTCCTTTCGAACTTGCAGGGTTTGGAGTGAGCATCCATTCCAGCTGTTCGCGTTCACCGGATAAAATGGGCAGATTTTAGTTGTTGTTGTGGACTATAATTCTTCACCGACGACGATATTAAAAGATGCTCGATTTGAAATGTGAAGGGGACAACGTTGGCTGGGTCGAATGGCTGGACTGGATTTGGGGCAGGCAGGCTCGGGGGAACCGGATTTCTAAGGATCTGAAGCGGATACGATCGCTCGTGTTTCGTGATCTTAATTGTGATTAATCAATTTACCGTGCGTAAAAATATTCTACATTAAAACGAAAGATTCTGAAACTTGATGGAATCAAAGTTGTTGGTTTTTTTGCGTACACATAGGCTCACACAGAGACCCACAGACTTACACATCGCCTCCCGGACTCACACAGAGATCCACATACTTATACAGAGACCCACAGAGAACAGAGACCCACAGATTCGCACAGAGATCCCACAGCCTCGCACAGAGACCCACAGACTAGCAGAGACCCACAGACTGACACATAGACTCACAAAGAGACCCACAGACTCACACAGAAACCCACAGACTCGCAG